TTTGGGACTATTCGGGGATATTATTCGGAAGGGACCTGCCTAGGTAGGGATGCACATGCTAGTAGGTTTACCGTTTATTTGGTTGGGCGGGACGGTTACTGTCTCTGGAATCTGAAATTTCTCAGGTCTCTTTTTGACTTTGGGGACGGAGTAATCGCGGAGAAACTTGTCCTACTCTATTCTATTTTTTTTTAAAAAAAATAATTTTGGTTCCTGTGTTGGTGCTTTTGGGTTGTATGGTAGAACGCGCGTGCTTCGTGTAAGTTCAGTATTAGGAACTATGGCTATTTCCTCTTGTATTTTCTATAATACCTGATTGTTAAAGGAATCCAAAGAGGTCTACTTGGTGTACTTTGTAATGTACATCTTATATTCTGATCTGAATTTAGTTTCTCCTGTATGGTGTAATATAAGCGAGCCTTCTGTAATTGGATTATACATCTCTGTTTTCCAGTCGCTTTTCGATATATGTATTTGGTCATTGAGATGGACAACTGCCCTAAATGAAATCGAATATGCATCACATGACCCTACTAATCACGATATCGTTTTATCCTAAATGATAAGTTAGACGGTGGGCTAAGGTATGCTCAATAGAGCATATCTTGATTCTGAGATGATGCGTAGGGAATTTGTCTCTGATATGTTTTGGCGTCCCAGGCATCACTCATGCCAACTCATGCCAACTCATGATCTTGCTCAACTTGCTCTCATGTCTCTATCTCTGGTAAATGCCTCGGCAGTTCCTTTCTGTCTATGCATTCAGTATATTCAAAGCGGTGAATTTTCTGTTCCCAGACTACCCGAGTGGACATTCTATGATTTGATCTACACATCGCCTCCAGAGCCGATGAGCCTAGAACTCTGGGCCTTTCTCCTTGTGGCAATATGTCTACCCCTGCCTTCATAAGATCTTCTCAATAAATGCCAGTTCCAAAATTTTATCTTCCGAGGTTCATGCGGATATGCATACATTAGAGTTCAGTACTGCTTGATGTAGCTCGAAGGAGTGCCAAAGAAGCAATAGCAATTAACGGGGAAATGGAAAGGAATGGCAGCAGCTTTATCCACTCGATTAGGTTTTTTTCGGTTGAAGCAATCTGTGTAACACATATTAAGTTAGTGGTATAGCAATAGTTAGGGCTGATTTCTTCTGAAACACTTGCGTCTTTCTATAAACCCAATATTGAGATGCACCAAACTCTGGGATTACCATTGCAGTATGACGACCATTGCTCAATGGAAAATAGTGAATTGGAGATATAAAGTAGATTATGTAGCTCTCCGTGCCAACCAGAATAGGGATCATGCTATTTAGACAGGTAGTCTAAGCTTCAAGCTCTTTAACCATACGAAGAACAACAAGCTTATAGAAGAGGTGCATCATCGTTGACATAGACAATGACGGGTAAACAAGGGAAAGCTTATATCGATTCGAACACACCCGCCTTCAGTCGGTATGTAGCGGATAACTTACCCCCCTACCACTCGCAGCCAATACGGTCCTGATTGAATGAACCTTGATCTGCCTCATTCTCCAATTGGAACGCAGCCGTGCCCTCGTATCCTGTTCTAGTGCAGACGCCAGAAGTTTCCTGATCTGAACTTCCCTTAATAACGCAGATCTGCACAATAGCTTCGTTCCTTGGTTTCGCGAGATGATAAGAAGGGTTCCAATCATTATCCGCTCAACGTTGCATATATGGAAGATTTGCCTCTAGCCTACGCTCGACCGGTCTGCGGTCTCATGATATTAACAAAGTTATTGAGAACGCCTGCAACTTTCTATGAACAGGGATTTTTTGGGGTGGATCTCATGGGTACATGAGGTGACCCATTATGGTTTGAAAGTTGTAGAGCCAGAAGCCGATAGTCTCACGATGACGCCAAAAATCGAGGACCTGTTTGAAGATTGGTGCACAACCTAAATAAATACTTCTATGGAAGGGGAAGGAAAGGAGCAGTTCCTGATAGTTTTCGTGTGGTGGATCGAGGTTGCATCCCGGGGCTCTTCGGCCTCTTGACTCGTACATTGGGACTGTCAGCGGCCCGAGTTAGAGATTGAGAATCATGGCGGAGTTTTTGCTGCGTTCAGCTCGTGAGGGGTTGCGGGGAGGAAAGGAGGAGAAACCCGGTTCTGGTGGGTCAAATTTGGTGGGGAAATGTTGGAGACCGGGAAAGAGAAACGCCATCTCTCTGTTTCCTCGTGCATTCCCGATTTGCGAGCCCTCAAGGGTTGAGGGTTTCAAATGAGCAATTTTTATTTACTAAAGGGCTTGATTGTAGGTTTGTGGCTGTTCTTTTTAGGAGCGGATTTTTTGGCGGAAACTTTAGCAGCTTGGAGGGTTGTCGGGAAGTATAATAGAGTGGTTTGCGTGAAGGATCTAGATCGGCGTATTCTCGATGCGTATTTTCGTTGGATCCGTATCGGGATTACATACGGGGGGTACTTATGATGTACACGAGAGTGTATCTGCAAGTACCTTGTTTCTACTTCCACTTACCTATTAGTTTATGTTATGTCGGTTGTTCTTTGAGGCAACGGTAGCTCCGACGTACTGTACTATAATGGACACGGCTAATTCTCCCAAGACGACATGGGCCAGGGTGATGACCGCACTGAATATAGTCAGCCAAAATTCCACTGCAGGTGCAGACCGGAGCTGCCGATACCCAGCTGCATGTCATGGTGAGATGCATACTGCTATCAGTAAACGATCATAAAATCCTGATCCCACCTTATGCGGCTGGCGTATAGCTGGGGAAATAGAGGTCCAACCGTCGGATACGTTGAACGCCGATCTAGGATAGGTTTTGTCTATAACATTGAATAAGGTTGAACAACCTGCTTTGGGAGGGCGGAAACACTCAACCATTCCCAACCAGGTGTTCACGGTTGGTCAAGTCATACATATTCTCCCAATGTACAGTATCCACGCCGTTAAGGCAAAATTATCCGGCTTTGTGTTCGGTATCTATTGGTGTCTCCGAAAATTTGTTGGATCTCGTGAAACTCATACTGTAAAATGAATGGCGTTGGTCTGGAGTCAACTAAAGGATCTGGGCAATTCGTTCAAATTAATCGTAGGGAGATAAGCTTGCCGAATGTATGTACTGTACGACTCGGGAACGTCAAGTAGTCATGAGTCAGGCATTAGAAATTCCCAAGGGTTCTTCTGGAGACCTGAAGCATCCCTGATGTTTGGCCCTACCGGTGATATCATGAGGCGCTGATCGACTCTCAAATTGACATCTAGACCATGCCAGTGACAAGAGAAAAATCTGCATCACATCTGACAATCAAGTGATCCAATTATAGAAGAACTGATTTATGCTGTCGTTGGCCGCACCGTATCACGTGGCGACGGGGTACACACAGCAGCACAAGCGATGTGATTGTTCTGCCCAATCTGCTACACATATCTTGATTCAAACCAAGCCAAAACAAAGAAAAGTACCGGTTTTTGTTAGCAAGCAGTCATCATTCCCAGCCCAGTCTCTTGCTAACTTTGCCCCGACCGGTTCGCCTGTTTTCCGTTTCCCATTCCGCAGATGCAGGTCAGGGAACTGGCCTTGTCGCTTGCGTTGGTCGTTCAATATCATTGGACAGGACCTGAGCACTGTCGATCTCAAGGTCACCAGGTCTATGAGTTGGCAATTTCATCACACTTCGAATTCTTCCCCTGCCCCAGAATCCGGAATAATCCACTGACAAGTCACCCGTGTCTCTTGGTGAACCTCGCTTTGTTGCTTAACGGAAATGCCGCCGATCGATGTAGTTGACGGCAGGTAAGGACTCCAGCGACGTACCACCCTCGCATGATCCCCGGCTTTCGACCTTACATGGAGCGCCTTACAGTGGGCATGGCTGACGGCTTCAACAGGTCCTGACCCCACCTGGCGAACGGGACGCTTGACGTTCAGTCGACTGTAGAATCGTATTCGAAGGTCAGATCACTCCACCAGGTCCACCACGGTGCCACGAACCTCACCCCGTAATGGCTGGCACTTCATCTATGGGGTATATTTTCTGTACTCCGTATTCCAGACCCCGGTCCATGTCGATCAGCGCCTCAAAACTGCTGATGGTGTGCTATGATTATTCCGGATGCTTGCACGCGCAGAGGTTTTGCTTTTTCTTCTTCATTCCCCCTGAAGCTGACCCAACGGCCCGTAAATTTTCTTGATCACACGCTCACCATTATCCTTATTCTGACATAAATCAATATCCGCTGCTGAGTTGGCAAGCCCTCAGCCTCAACATGTTGGCTTGCGCCACCGATCAATGACCCGTGGGACAGCATATCGCGCTTACTCAACTGCCAAATGGGTATGTATTTGACCTTGTTATACGTATTCCAATCCTGCTACAGGCGTTGAGCTCTGTAATACCCTTCATGGTAGACTAAAAGCTGGTATCTTACATACACGGTGTACTGGTTACGCTGATTTTGTATCGACGCAGGTACTTACTCTCTTGGGGCTTTGCTACCATCCAACTCGGACTCGGGAGGCTCCTGTCTTTGACGCATTCAGAAATAGCCATGTGACAATATGATCTCTTCTTGTCGTAATCTCCCATTATTGACTGCTCTTGCTGCCATCTCTACTGGGGTGCTTGGTCACCGTGCCGTGGACATAATATTATTAATAATATCTAATGCTATCATTATACATATCCTTTCCAAGGTGCGATACCAACTATGGTTGACACAAGATAGTGAAGATGGCCCTGTTACACAGTGATAAAAAAAAGCCACGACAGCGAATGCATTGCTCGAACATATGGGCTTCGCAAAGGAAGACTTTGATCAAGGCTCATGACTTTTCTGGGAAACGTCGCTCCCAACCAATAATCGCTGGTTTCGAGGGACCGGAGAACATGGACGAGTAGTCTGTGGCAGGAACCCCTTTCTTGCCGTCTACATTGAACAGCTTCATGTGTCGCGCCATTGTCGCCACGATTACTCCCAGGTTAACATAGGCAAACTTCTCTCCAATGCAGCGATGGCGGCCAGCACCAAAGGGCAAATAAGGACTGGATGTTCCTTTGGACACGGTACCATAGCCGTAGTCGACCATATCCCCTTCATCCTCCTTCTCAACTCGGTTCTCCCAGCGATGGGGGTCCCAGCGGCTCGCGTTGGGGAAGTACTCATCACTAAGAGCGGTCACGCCGGGAGATGCTAGCAGAACGTGGTCTGCGGGGACGATGTAGGGTGTGCCAGGAACCGGCATTGGGTTCTTGACCTTGCGCATGAGAGAGTGAAT